CTTAAGGCTTTACCTTAATTTAAGTTTCACTTTTGAATCAGCCTTGAAAAAATAGCATACTTTTCAAAAACTTACAGATAGTATAGAAGCATAGGGGGTTGGTTTACCACTTCTAACCAGAGCCTCTCCAGCATTAGTGAAAGTAACTGATGGACTACTAATCACATCAGACCCAGCAGCAACAGAACTACCAACGCTACCAAAAACTATTTTAGAACAACCCCATGGTTTACTGGACTGGACATCAAGGCCCCACAAAGCATTCATATGACAGAGTTCTTCAATAAAACCCAACGGGGAGGACTCTTTAGGTCGTGAAATGCAAATATCAGTCTCTTGTACTCTTGGATGATGGTTGACTGGTTTGCCTGTTCCAGTGAATATAAAGTATTTTGATTTGCTGTAATACTGCATTAGTTTTAGTGCTAGGGACTCAAGTGAGTTATCTACTGGACAAAACACCCAGACAGGGAAGTCCTTCCCTCCTTCAACAAGAGGATGAAGTTCCTAATAAATAAACAAAATAATAAATGAATAAATAAGTAAGTTAACAAATAAATAAAAATGACTAAGGAAGACGAATACCAAATTAAACAATAACAAAAACTAGCGATAGAGTAGCACCAAATTAAGTTCAAAAAAGGAACTAAATAAACAAAATAGATCAATTTAAGTACATTAAAAACATTGATACGTTATGCATGTATCAAGACAAATACAGGATGAAGGGTACAAGAAGAAATAACTATACAAAGAATAACAATAATAATAATGATATGAGTAATACAATAATGTACATCATGTAATCCAAATCATATCCTTTATCAATAATCATGTACACTATCATGTTCCGTTGAGTATACACATGGAGACAGACTGACAATCACAAAAAGGAAGGAAGTACATTAGCTCATTAATGGGCCACACATGACCATAAACTGATTCATTAAACTTCTTTTATTCACAAGCAAAGTATTGCAAATTTGCCTTGAAAATGCTTCACATTCACAATCATTAAATTAAAGTGCATATTTATGTAAGAGGAAAAGATACTATGAATTGACTAATTTAAGCTAAGTCTACATTGCATACATGTACATGTACATCAAATGCTATCATAACTCTTCCAATGTAATGATGTAACTTTATTATCATTACCATTACATCATAATAATTATACTATCATAGCTTTCTTAACAGTATTAATAATAAATGTGTGTGTGTGTGTGGTTGTAACTATTAAAAAATTCCAGTGTATTATTATCATTATTATGATAACTTTCCCACTTGCTTATAAAATTAGGGACAGTTATTGAATGTCACTGAATCCATTTACTCTGTGTGTGTTTTGTATTTTTTAGTAACAGATACGGTAGTATCCCTGCAATAGGTAGTAACCTTAGTTCGGCTTCTAAATACAATCAGTTTACCCAGAAAGACTACTCAGTGTAGGTTTCACTATTACAATGTACATTGCAACAGGTAAATTTAGATGGAAGTCAAAATGATAAGAAGTCCCCCACTGTATGTCATAATCTTGATGCAAGCTTCTAGCTAGATTACACTGTTTACTGTATGTGTCTCAATTGTGTGTCAGTCAGTCTGTCTCTGTTGCATGTCCTGATGTTAATGGGCTAATGTATTGAATGTGAATCAACAAGAGATTCAGCTAATGTGTAATAACCTTACAAAGATGAAGTGTGAAGAGAGAGAGGGAGGGAGAGAGGAGAGGGAGGGAGGGAGAGAAAGGGAGGGAGAGAAAGGGAGGGAGAGAGAGGGAGGGAGAGAGAGGGGAATAAGGAGGAAGGAAGTGATGCTTTAAAAGCCCCACTAATTACCATACATACACAAATATGTAAACATGAAGTCGTGTACTAAAATAAACATTGGCATGATGCTATGGAATTTACATGTATATTTTCCCTTTTAATGAGAAACACATAAACAATTTCATGTGAAAAATCTTGTGATTAGTAATACATAAGAATTAAGCCGCTGTCATGACATGCCCACTGTAATCTTTTCATCTTTTTCTCAAGACAAAAAAAACAAAGAGCATGTGATACAGTGTGCAATTGCCTAGGGAGCGTTGCTATGTAATAAATGTCAAAACAAACATTCATTCTGTTGAGCTCTCAATCCACACGATGACATAATGTGTATTTAAAAAAAAGAGTCAGGAATTCGTGTTTATGGAACAACGGCACAAGAGTGGCGGTTAGAATTATTTGATGGCGTTTTATTATCAGTATAAACATGTACAAGCACTAGGTTGGTTTATATTTACAATAAACTGATAAATTATAGATACGGAACGAAGATAAGACACTAAAACAATAAAGAGAAAATACAAATAAAACGTAGTAGGATCATTGTCTGTGTTTTAAAGATATTTTAAAAGATGTTTTAACTCACAACATAGATGAAGTGTCCACTTGGTGTTTTTTGATTATTTTTGCCATCGGGTACTCCGGCAATTTCTCTCACTTGATCAAATATTTCTTTATTACCACACAGCCATAATACGTGAGGAGAATTTTGAGCAGCAGCTGGAGGAGCAGCTACAAAAATAGATAATTATATACAATGTTATTCTGCTTTATTTTTCTCCTGGGCATTCTCTTTTGCTCTCTTTTTTACACTTTCGATGCTTTAAAAGCTTCCACATTCTACTCATATTTACAATTCTGTTTACAGTATACATGTACCTTAAGCCTACTGTTATTTGCATCTACTAATTTTAGCGAAATCAGCAAAAGTCATGTTTAGCGTTACTAATTTTAGTGTTTTTAACCATTAAGGTAGTCTCTCTTTTCAACACCTGTTTATACTGTTTATACACCTGTAACCATGAGGATATATTTACATCATGCACGTCTCCAAGCAGGTGTATGTAAGCATGTGCTCCCCACGTACAAAGTAATCCTCATATCCTTACAATTAGAATGTCTCCATTACTCGTTTGAGTACACAAATACAAGTACATGTACATGTACAAGTGCATATCAACTTGCAGAATAAAAGATGTAAACATGTTTTTCTGCCATATAGCTCAAAATTTCTGAGACCTTAAATTTTTGTTAATTTTGCAAATTTTGAAAAACTTAATGAAAAAAATTGCTTCTGCATTAAGCCATGGGAGATCAAAGTACTTTTGGGCCACAAAAATTTCTGACATTTTTAAAACACAAAACTACTTTCCCTTCCCCCTCGTTCCCTTCCCCCCCTTTCTTTCTCTCTCCCTCCCTCCATCTCTCTCACTTTTTTCACTTTTTCTCTTACTTTTTTTCGTGACTTGAAGTTTAGAGTGTTGAGGTCTAAATGGAAACAGCAGCTGCCAGACATGAGTATTCTTGAACTGTACGATTTGGCTGAAGACATTGTACGCTGCTAATTCATCCTATGAGGATGCCAAGAAGCAAGCAAGGAAATAATACAATTAATAATTACAGCTAACAATATGATGTGATTACATTAATGAAATAATCCATGCACGTATAAATGTGCAGTGCAGGTACAGGCAGTGTTTGCAAATAATATTAACGTGACCTGGCAAAGGATGGAAATCAAAAACGTCTAATTGAAAATACATTTCGTAAGATGCAAGTAAACATAATGCATATACACGTACATGTAAATGTGTATCTACATGGCCTTGGTAATAATAATTATCATATAAAAGTAGAATTTTTTATTATAATTTTTAATTTGTTGCAATTGAAGAATATCGTAGTCAATCAAAGGTTAAATTAATTTTTTTCGATTGTTTGGAGAGACTCACCTTTTCAACTATTCTTCTCACAACAGCTAGCAGTAGCTCCTTGCTGTCTGATTTGTGTTCATATTTCAACCGATCCGCTTCTTCCTTGTCTAGTGCTTTGAACTTAACGAGTAGTGTGGTAAAGTCATAATAGGGAAATTCATCAAGAATGAGCTTTTGTCCTTCCTTGCTCGATAGGATCTCTCGAAATTGATCTTTTACAGACATTGTCAAGGAATGTAGCAATACTAGAGCAAGGACACCAGCTAAAGTAAATAAACTGAAAACTGGTGTAGCTTCAAAGGCTAGAGAAATTAAAATGCCTCTAAAAGCAGGAAACAGGTCTGGAAATAACACTAGGTGGAGCTACAGTAGCTGGTACCCGCCCTAATTCAGCTAACCAAAAACACGGGGAGACGGGACTCTAGTAAAAGATGGCCCTTTATAGTGTCGGAAATTTTCCAAGATGCAAGTTTTTAAGAGGAAGGTTTGATGGAAAATTGCTAGTTTTAACTTTGTTTTCTTCTATAGCTCAAAAGCATAGATATTGCTCAAAAGAAAACACGGAAACTAAATTAATTCATGGCTTCAATAATATTTGCTGTGGGTGTGGCTTGTTGCCAATGGCAACATAACAACTTGATTCCTCCATCCATGCTGGCACAATGTCCTTGAGTGGACTCTCTTCTCTCGTTAGTGACAAGAGAGTGACTGATTCAGAAGATGAGGAGACAGGAGGTGTGGATGAAGACTCAGAGAAGGAAGTGGTGATTGCTAAGCCACCAGAACAAGGTGGCCTTTCTTCGCATAGTCAGTCAATAGCTGCCTCTGATCTACTGGATCAGGTATTATTAATAATAATGTATTATTTGTGTAAGAGATGAGGTATTTGCTTTATTGATGCAGCTTGTTGAAAATGGCTCAATATCTGGAGAAAGAGCTGGTAGATTGAAGAGGAAATACAATTCTCTAATTCACAGCATTGAAAGGTAGTTGTACATAATAATAATAATAATAATAATAATAATAATAATAATAATAATAATAATAATAATAATAATAATAATAACTGTAATTGTAGTAATAGCATGAAAATAGCTAAAAGAGATACCGTATTAAATTACAGTATAGCTGCATGTACATGTACATGTACATTGCTTTTAAATCTACTGTTAGTTCAATTGTATACTTTGTATTGTCAACTTTTACCATACATGTACATGTAGATATTAGAGTTAAAGTAAACCACTTTAGCCCACTATATCTCAGTTTGTTTAGTTGCAATGTACATTGACTTGTGTTTCTTTCTAAATAAGGTCACGAGCGGCTGAGAATGCTCTTCTACAAAAATCACACGAGCTGAAACAGGTAACAATAATTAATAGCATAAATATGACCTTTTTACTGTATGCACAATGTATTGGAAAAATTAATCTAATACTACTGTACATTGTATTCCACATTCATAATCTCAGAAGTACAAGTACATGTACATGTAACTAAGAGTAAATAATATGTACAGAGAGTATCCAATGGCCTTCTATTGAAGCCTGCTGCAAGTGTGTGCATTATTAAGAAACACTCTCCACATATGTACTTCTTTTGAATCAGTGTTTATACAGATATTTATAACTAATGTATTATACATACTCCTGTGTATTGTATATGCATGTAGTTTTATTGAAGATAATTATTATTTATTTTGTTTTTTTATTTCTTAAGCAACTGTCGTCTGGTCAGACTACCATAGAGAGAGGTGATGGTTTCCCTGAGTCTGATAGCTCTCACACCTCCAAACTGAGACAGACTCTCCTCACTCAACACAACGAGCTACTCCAAACTGAGAATAGAACAATAAAACTGGACAGAGAAATTGAACAGTAAGAGCAACAATACTAGTAATAATGATAATAATAATAATAATAATAATAATAGTGTTCTTGTTTTTATTATAATAATAATATTAGTAGTAATAATAATACTGGAAAAATATTTGAGGGCTGTAAATTTTGCAAATTTGTCTAAAGATCTATTTTGTGGATTTAATTTTTGCCAATTTGTACCGTCTGCCTAATAATTTGATTTTTGCGGAAGTAATTTTTGCAAATCTTCAAAAATTGTGAAATCCACGAAATTTATAGCCCTCGAAAATTCTGCACTATGTAATAATAGTTGTACACTTGGAGACAGACAGTAATGATTAATGCCAAGCACTATTGCATGTACATGTACATGTACATTCCAAGACACTATTTTGTCACATTCCTTGTACATGATCATGATCTATACTTACAGAATTATAGTAATTCCTGATTATTTAAATAATTTAAAATATATACTAAATGCACATGTACGACATTCTCCAAGTGCAGCTGTATATTATTGACTGTCCATTATTTTGACAATAGAAGTCCACCTGCTTCATTGATGTGTGCTTGTCTGGCTAATGGCTTGTTTGTGTGGTTCTGATGTTTTTGATTTTGGGGAGTTTATAAGGGAATTATGTTAATAGCAGTGCTACAGTCCAGTGATAATACTCCTACATGACACATGTACATGTACATGCATAAGTACATGTATGTACATGTATAATACAGAATGTACATGTACATATACATGTACTACGGTGTACATGTACATTAAACTTTGGTGTGTGTGTGTGTTTTTACAATGTAGACTGTAAAAGCTTTGTAGTTCAGTGAAATTTTAATATTAAAAATTTTAAATTAAAAAATTTAATTATGGGTCAAAGTACATGCACATGTAGGCGTGTAGAAATCGTACATGTACCTACATTTACATAGTAATATTGATATAAGGGTATGTGGGATAGTAAATGGTAGCCTTTGATCATTAAAATTATAGTGATTAGAAGTTAAAATATAGTTTACTTATTATTAATTTTGGTAAAATGGGATTAATGTAGACACATATACATGTACATTGTAGATCTACAAATGTATTATAAATGTCAGTTCATTTAATGTAAGCTCCTTCTCTTTCATGTAGACTAGAGGAGGAGAAGAGACAGTTACAAAGAGAATATGATCACCTACCTAAGAGAGAGGTTTGAAATTACACATACATGTACTGTATATACACGTACACGTATATGAACCATACATGTGTATATTCTTTATTAATACAGGAACTTGATGAGAAGCGTCAATCACTGGATACTGCAATACATCAACTACATGATGAAATTGACCAGGTTAGCCTTGAGATATTCAATACAGTGTTGTACACATGTACATATACAAAGTACATACCGCTATGTGTATGCATGTACATGTACATGTACATGTACATATACATGTGTTTATGACGTCTATTTGGTGTTATGATTTCTTGGTCCAGTTGAGCGTGTAGAAGGATACGTCATATGTTCTCACTTCTCAGCTTTTAATGTAATTTATAATAATAATCAGTCTGCCTTATATGTGCATGTACATTGCAGTAACTGTACATCTATATGCAATACTCCCTCTATTAATTAATGCATGTACATGTAGTTTATTTATTTTATACTTTCTGCTGTTAATTTCAATGTAATATCAGGTTGTGTTATTTTCCTGAGTCTAATATTTCGTGGTTTTCATTGACTACGAAAATAAAGCACCACAAAAATAACCAACTGATATGGTATCACACTGTGTCTGTGTGTGATGTACCATATGGTACTACTTTTGAAACATTATTAAGATGAACATAACTCAAACATTTAAAATAAGAATCAGCTCATATTTAAGGGCATGTATACATTGAACATGTAATGTTATATCATTGTGAATTTGTAATCATATAAATATTTTAATATTATTTTTATTTTTATTGTAGAGGATTGCTATTGTTAATTCTCTCAAAGATGAGGTCCACAAGGTGAATGAGACTATTGCTGGCATTCAAAGAGACACAGCAGAACTTCACAAACTAGAGAACACGGTCCAAGAGGATCTCTCCAGTATACTGATAGCTCCTACCAACCTACCAAGGGAAATGGATAAAATCAGGAAACAAATAGCGTATGTTTCTAATTGAAATGCAGTACATGTACATGTACAGTATAACCTGCTATTGTGGACACTCTAAAATAAGGACACCTCTATAATGAGGACAGGTAGTATCAGTCCCAATACAATAGTAATGTGTATTAATGAACCTCTGAAATAAGGACAGGCTCATAATCAGGAGGGTATATTAATTTATTGGTCCCCAAGGTGTCAGATTTGACTGAATATTGTATCATTTTCATTTATTAATTGATCATGTAAATATTATCATAATTCTCTCCCTGTCTCTCTTTCTCCCACTAATGATAATGTTATGATACTTTCACTTTCCTTCATTCCTGTCATGCCATCTTGTTACATGCATGTACAATGTATGAGCATATACATGTACATTGTACGTTCTTTTGCTCTCTCCCTCTCTCTCCTCATTCCTCCTTCTCTCTCCCCCTCTCTCTCTCCCTCTCTCCCACTCTCTCTCTCCCACTCTCTCTCTCTCTCTCTCTCTCTCTCTCTTTTTGTAGTGATAATGAGAAACAGGTATTGGATCATACTCAAGTTCTTGAAGGACTAGATGAAGAGGTAAGGATTGAATCTATTCATGCACACTTTATAAGCAGGTATTGCTATTTCAATACATGTACAGTAGTATGCGTGTTCATGTACAAATGTACAAATGTATGGTCTGTAGATAGCGAGACTGACTCAACTTGTCAACAACATGAAGGAGGAGGTTGTCTCAGAGCGAGCACTATCAATGGAGGAGCGACGTAAAGTTGAGAAAAACGTAAGAAATGATACAAAATAAAAGGAAGATGTACATGTACAATTATTAATTAGTGCAAGCATGCATTGTACATACTGTACATGTACATGTACATGTACATTACCTCTCTTAATTCATAAATCCACATGTAAATCTAATAGAACATGAATGTGCAATTAAGTGCTGTATTTCTTTATGTTTTTATGCAGCAATTAAGACTGGAAGGTATGGAGAAGAACATACTCTTAGCTAAAGAACAAGAGGCAGCATATTTAGAGGAAGGGTAAGCTAGGACACACTCATCACCTGTCACTATATACACCAGCTACTGCTTAATACCATCTATTTGTGATTTTAATTTTACTGAATTAGAATATTGCAAATAGTTGATGACACATGTATGATTACATTTACATGCCATATTTAATAATATGACATGGTCTCATATTAAATCACGTACAGCACCATTTTAAAACACAAATATTTCTACTGCATGAATTTCCTGATTTACGGTATCCCCTATATTACCATATTAGTGGTGACATGTGGCCTATAAGCTGAGACTGCATGTTATACCATAATTATGGTATACTTCCTGTCTATAAATGGTCCATTGTATTAACCTGAGAATGTAACCCCTTCCCTATTGAACCAGATATGCATGTACTTGTACTTGTATGGCTGGTGTCAGGATTATGTGATGCATGTGCAGTGTATTATGAGTTTACTAGAATATGGAGTGAGTGTAGACAAGTGTTGTATGGAGTGTTTATGTACATGTAGACAGATACAGTAATAATGTCTGCCTCCTTAAAGGGACACGTTCACGGAAATAGATGCACACGTTACTGTAGAGGAAGTAAACATTAAATTGGGCGTGCAACAGATCATTAATTAATAGTTATAACACGTGTTTAGACACGCGTAGAGAGTAGAGACAGAGCAATCAGTCGTAGAACCAGGAGTAGGCATCTGTAGAACACTTCCCTTGACCAGAATCAGCTCTTTTGCCACCCCAAGATACTCTTTTTAGTGAAGAAACACCAGGAATATTTACAAGTAACCACTCGAGTAGCCATTTTGCCTTAATTTTTAGGGGTGCGGCCGTACATTATGAATAGTTATCAACACTACACGTCATCATTAATGATGTCATCTTGAAAAACGGGCCAGTTTTTCAAGATGATGTGCTTCCGTGAATGTGTCCCTTTAACAAGCAAACCTACACAATGTACATGTACATATACTAGACATATCCACAGTATAATATTTCATGGCATACAAAATAATAGTGTTTTATGTATCTATTGCATGTAACAGGCCAGCACACAGGAGTATACCATAATTAATACACTTAGGCCTGTCTATGGTCTGTTGTATTAACCTGAGAATGTAGACTCTTCCCTATTGAACTAAATGTACACATGTACTTGTACTTGTAAAGCTGGTGTCAGGATTATGTGTATTATGAGTTTACTAATATGGAGTGAGTGTAGACAAGTGTTGTATGGAGTGTGTGTGTGTACATGTAGATGCAGACAGATACAGTAGCAGTGTCCAAACAAACTACACAATGTACATATGTACATGTACTAGACATATGCATTGGGCAGTATATGGCATACAAAATAATAGTGTTTTATGTATCTATAGTACATTATTGTTTAGTATTTTAATTGTATTCTATACTGTACATGTAGTGCTAATACTGAGCTCCAGTACAAGCACAGGACGAATGAGCAGAGGTCAATATATGATGGACTCATGATTAGGACTAAAGAGAAAGACAAAGACTTAAAGTTAGAGCAACTACATGTACATGCATCATGTGGTATTATTTGTGGGGACTTTTTATTGTACATGTACATGTGTGTGTATTTTCTGATTGATGTCCTTATGCTCTGTAAAAAGTTTGAGCTGATTCTGACTTAAATTTTTGAGTTACAGCCATTTTTTGAAATTGGCCGATTTTGAAAAAATCCCTGTACTATAGCCCATGGTTTTTTCTGAAAAATGGCTCCGAAATTACCCCCAATTTTTATTACATTTTTTGATACATATTGATGTCCTTATGCTCTGTATAAAGTTTGAGCTGATTCCGGCTTAAATTTTTTGAGTTACAGCCATTTTTTGAAATTGGTCGATTTTGAAAAAATCCCTGTACTATAGGTTTTTTCTGAAAAATGGCTCCGAAATTACCCCCAATTTTTATTACATTTTTGATACATATTGATGTCCTTATGCTCTGTATAAAGTTTGAGCTGATTCCGGCTTAAATTTTTTGAGTTACAGCCATTTTTTGAAATTGGCCGATTTTGAAAAAATCCCTGTACTATAGCCCATGGTTTTTTCTGAAAAATGGCTCCGAAATTACCCCCAATTTTTATTACATTTTTTGATACATATTGATGTCCTTATGCTCTGTATAAAGTTTGAGCTGATTCCGGCTTAAATTTTTTGAGTTACAGCCATTTTTTGAAATTGGCCGATTTTGAAAAAATCCCTGTACTATAGCCCATGGTTTTTTCTGAAAAATGGCTCCGAAATCACCCCCAATTTTTATTACATTTTTGATACATATTGATGTCCTTATGCTCTGTAAAAAGTTTGAGCTGATTCCGGCTTAAATTTTTTGAGTTACAGCCATTTTTTGAAATTGGCCAATTTTGAAAAAATCTCTGTACTATAGCCCATGGTTTTTTCTGAAAAATGGCTCCGAAATCACCCCCAATTTTTATTACATTTTTTGATACATATTGATGTCCTTATGCTCTGTAAAAAGTTTGAGCTGATTCCGGCTTAAATTTTTCAAGTTACTGCCATTTTAAAAAATTGGCCGATTTCTGAAAAATACCATAGTATAACCTTTGCTTTTTTGATCAAAGTATTAAATTATTGAAATACATGTATTACTGTTATTATTATTATTATTATTATTATTATTATTATTATTATTATTATTATTATTATTATTCCCAGGGCATTAAAAAGAGCTGAGATCCAGTTGAGATCAACTCAGAGTGCCCTGGAGCAGCAGCATAGGATCCTGGAGCCTCTCATCATTAAACTGGAGGAGATGCAGTCAAAGAGTAAGTCAAGACAAGGAGAACTGTACAGTCTAACCAATGAGGTTGAGACACTGAGGAAATCACTCAAGCAAATGGTAAGTAATAATTATTACTGATGTAGTGTATTGTATTTTTTTAAATAATAGTAATAAAATTTTTTCACTTTTCTATCATACCATATAGTGAAAAATTTTCATGGCCAAAAAATTTTACAAATTCATCAATCTATTTTGTGAATTTAATTTTCATGATTTTCTGTCAAAAGGCTATCTTGATCAGTTTTTTGTGGATTTTATTTTTATGAATTTTGAATATTAATTGTGAAATTTACGAAAATTTTGGGCCATGAAAGATTCTAGCCATACGATAAATAAAATGGTACATGTACAGTACATGTAAATGCAGATTTACATGTAATATGTAGCTAATTTTTTTCCTCTCTCTCTCTCTCTCCTTTATCTCTTGATTCCTCTCCTTAGGCGGGTACTGAGGAGTATCAGGAACAAAGTTTAGAGTTTCTACTTGAGAGAGAGAAAGAGCTGAGACAGTCGGCTAGGAGGAACCAGAAGCTGGTGGGAGACATTTCTAAAGCTGCACTGGCTATGGTACAGCATGAGAGTGTATTGTACATGTACACGTATACTATAATGTACTCTTACTCTGAAAATTATAAAATTACATGTACATGTACATGTACATGTACATGTACATATACAGTATTTTATGTGAACTGAATGACTTTTATTATTGTTGTTATTATTTTGTACTTTCAGATGAAGCAAAGAGACAATCGTGCCAAAGACTTTTATAAAGCTATTGTAAGACTAGTATTTACCATGTGTCTACATGTACATGTGTACATTATTATTATTATTATTATTATTATTATTATTTTTATTATTATTATTATTATTATTATTATTATTATTATTATTATTATTATTATTATTATTATTATTATTATTATTATTATTATTATTATTATTATTATTATTATTATTATTATTATTATTATTATTATTTGTTCCTACAGCGTCAGAAGCAACAGGTAGAGGATGACATTAGAAAAGGAACTAATCAAATTGAGGACCAACAGAAAAGACTGAGAGACCTAGAAATAAGGTACAGTACACGTACATGTACATGTACAAGTATGTGATGTAATATGTGAATTAATTATTTTTTATGAACATCTACAATCTATGAACATCTACAATCTACTTGTACATGTACATGTACATGTACGTACATTTTTATTCAATTTATGTACATGTGCATTTACGTATACTGTATACTTTTAAAATAATCTCCAGTGTATACTTTTCTTTGTCTTTTTTCAATTAAACATTTCTCTTCCTCTTTCTCCAGTTTGAGGGACTTTGCTCAAGCTTATGAGCTCGTTAAATCAGAGAGGAACATTGTCTACTCTCAGATACAGTCGTACCAGCAGCTCTCAGCTGAGATGAGAGAGAAGCTGAAGGTTCTTCAAAACGAGAAGGAAATACTCCACAATGCAGTGGACAGTAAAACAAAGTAAGTTAAGATTTAAATAAGTGAAAAGTATGATCATAATAATTAAATCTTGTAAAAAAATTTGTAGCATAAATACAAGTAAATATTTGTATACTTAAATGTGCCCATAAATATATGCATTTACTAAGATCAATTGTATAACATTTACATGTACATGTACATGTACATGTAGAAGTATTCCTATAATTGTTTTCACCACCTTGCATGTATAGCTGAGTTCTTATTAAGACTTATAGAGATTCTCTCTCCCTTCTAATGCTTCTAGAGAAGTCCTTAGACAGTATCTCTGTGCTACATGTATTTAAAATGCAAAATGTTGAAAGTTTCCTCTACCTGTTTTTATCATAATTTCCTACTCCCTTTAGGATTCTCGCAAGGTCTCATTTAGCTATAGCTAGTAAGACCCAGGATAGGGATGGGCAGCACTCTGAGCTCACTAAAATAAGGACACAACAGGAGGATGGGCGGAGCGAGCTTGAGAGACAAAGAGAAGTTCTTTACAAACTAACGCAGCAAATAAACTCAACGGAACAAACACTGAATAGAGTAAGAGAGAGAGAGAGAGAGAGAAAATAAAATCAGAGAGCAAAAATTAGAGCACAAATTGAGAGAAATAATACATGTACATGTACAATATGATGCTAGGCCAGCTTACTGTTGATTTTTAATCAAAGCGTGGGCAATTTGATTGACCTTTTGATGCATGTTTTACATGTCAATGTACATGTACATGTAATTAAGTGAGGATTAGCATAATTGTGTAAACCTACCTTAAGTCTATATGTACATGTGTATTCTATTTATTAATTTATTATTAATCTATTATTAATTATTAATAACCTATTAATTATTTATTAATCATTTATTATTCTATTTATTAATATTATTATTTATTTATTAAGTGTTTTCATTTATTGTACATTTGTAGCTTTGTCAGTATTATGAGCAAGTGGTTCAGAGCAGGAATGACACTGGACTCCAGCTTATAGAGAGGAATGAAGAAGTCTGTGTCTTCCATGAGAAGATTAACGTACAAGGTACAAGAACATGCATGTACATGTACATATGCTTCTTTGTTTGTTGCTACATGTACATGTATGTGTACAGTACAGTAATAATAATTACATGATTTTTTATTTTATTTATTAGCTACAATAACTCAGCAGGGGATTGCTAAGCTAGCTGAAAAAGAGGAAGAATTGCAGTTCCTTAAAATGGAGGTACTATATACCAACAGCAATCATAATTATTATAAGACTTTTATTTTATTTTTTATCTATTTTTCTTGTCTTTCTCAGCTTGCTAGACTCCAGAGAGAGATTAAGATTAATCGTGATCAGTTACCAGAGAAAGAAGAGCTAGAGAGAGAACTAACGCTACACCAGAACATGGTAACGAAACACAATATACATGTACATGTACATGAATAGCATTAAAAACACTGGATCTTAATGGTTTAATGGAATTTACATGTTCATTGTACTTTTATTTATGCATCATCACAAATAATTGATTTTATGTCTAAGGTTAATAAGATTACAGGTGCTATTTTAAATTAATTAAGATGGATGTACATGTACATGTACATGGATGTACTGTACCTAAATGATATTTATACATACATGTATTTTAATTAACACAATACCATGCATGTACATGTTAATCTACATGTAATTAAAAGGGATTTTTGGGAGTGAGTGTCCCAAATAAAAAATGTGCCATTATACACATGCCACAGTCAATTACTAAAATTTTAGTAATTCATCATAATTTTAAAATTTACAAAATTACAGCTACAGTATACATGTACAGTACAAGTACATGTACATGTACATGCTATTTTATTGCTTTTATTCATGTACCGTAAATGTTCAAATAAAAGCCTGGGCGTTTATTTCTTTCCAGATCAAAAAAAATTGCGTAAAATAAAAACAGAAAAAGTGAAACTGGGATTCGAACCCGGAACTCCAGACTCAATGCACTTAGCTTACCAAGTTAGGCCATTTAGGACACACTAAAGATTGCGGGACTTATATTGAATAAAATATCCGTATCTATACTTGGAGATTCTTAGTACCAGGCGTTTATTCAAGCCCAGCCTTTATTTGAACATTTACGGTATTATTATTTCATTCTTATTTGCAGTTATTATCAACGAAGGAGTCATTGAAGTGTTTGGAGGAGGAGATGTGTGATGCCAGGAACCCAGAGAGGGTTAGACTATTAGCAGGAAAGGATCCGTCCTGTAAGGAACTAAGAGAAAGAGTACAGAAGCTTCAGGTAGTACATGTACATGTACTGAAGTATGCTCATAGTACATGTAGCATACATGTACATGTACATGTACATGTACATCCACAATGTGCATGGGTAGACTAACAATAATTTAAAAAGGTTGTAACTTGAAAAGTTTTAGTCGGAATCAGCTCAAACTTTCTACACAGCATAAGGACATCAATATGTATCAAAAAATGTAATAAAAATTTGGGGTGATTTCGGAGCCATTTTTTGGAAAAAACGATGGGCTATAGTACAGGGTATTTTTCAGATTTTGGCCAATTTTTAAAAATAGCCATAACTTAAGAAATTAAAGTCGGAATCAGCTCAAACTTTCTACACAGCATAAGGACATCAATATGTATCAAAAAATGTAATGAAAATTTGGAGTGATTTCAGAGCCATTTTTCGGAAAAAACCATGGGCTATAGTACAGGGTATTTTTCAGATTTTGGCCAATTTTTAAAAATAGCCGTAACTTTAAAAATTAAAGTCGGAATCAGTTCAAACTTTCTACACAGCATAAGAACATCAATATATATCTACTAGAGTACATAAACATTTAATATCATATTCTAATGTATTTATTTTAGGATCAACTATCTGAGCGTGAACATCAACTGCTAGAGAAGGAGCTGCTAATGGAACAGATCCACAGGTTGCTAGGCAGGACACAAAAGAAAGTAGAAGCAAGGAAAGAGACTACATTCCAGGTTGGAACAAAAGGGAATCACTATCAGTCCAAACTGAGGGAACTGACAAAGAAGATAATGTCAAGTATATCAGAACTATCAGTACAACAGGTGAGGAGGGAGAAGGAGAGAGAAAAACATACTCTAAATTATAGCATCTAATATTAATAATATTCATGAAGTCACTATTGAAACAGCTGGATTTCCATCAAAATTCAAGTTTTAAAGCTACTCCAAAAGCATTATCTATGTTATTACACTTTACTGCTTGTCAGCTCATGAAGCTCATGCTGTTTAGCTACATTTGTGTAGGAAACCCTGGTCTAATTTATTTATACATGTACATGTATTTAATGTACGTTATATACATGTACATGTACATGTATATTAATTTATAGGCGTTGGCACTTCACCTGAGTCAAGTGGTAAGTGAGAAGGAGACTCAACTTGAAAGAGCTTACAAGAGACTAGAGGCAGGGGAACCCCCTGATGATGAAGTAACTAATGAAATAGTGAAAGCCTATCAGAAGACATTGAACAAAATATCATCATCTGATAATGACATGGTATGTTAGTTGATAGGGAGGGAGAATTTATATTTTATATGCAATCTACATGTACATATATTCATAAACTTTGGACTTGGCCTTTACTTTTGAAGAATGAAAATGTATTAACAGTTACTGTATACTATACACGTACATATACAGGGTATGTATGGTGGATGGATCTGTGTCTATGTTTTTTTTATACAAGTAGCCATGTGTCTCTGTGTGTTTAACTTATTTTAAATAAATTCAATTACTGATACACTGTCCCCCCCTCCCTCTCTCTCAGTCCTTACAAGATGAAGGTCGTGAGCTACCCAATGGAGTCTACACTACAGCCTCGCCACGTCCCAATGCTTACATACCTGACAGCGAGACAGACTTACCTCTTCCGAAACCTTATGGTAACCACGCCCCCTTCAAACCCACCCAACCTGGGGCCAACATACGACACATCAGAAAACCACACCTACCTCCGATTGACATTTAGTGACTGGTTTTATCAAGTTTGGTATAATTATAATTATCAATAAAATAAGAAACCATTTAGACTTAAACCATTTAAAGTAGACAAAATTACTTAATGCATGTACTTGTACATTGAATTTAACATGCTGCAGTATTATGATATGTGATGTGGTAGAGGAGGAGGAGCTAAAGAGAGGCTTAAATGAGAGAGACAGCATGGAGCGGAATGATGCATGAATTTAATTTATTAGCTACATATGTCACTGTGTATAATATACACAGTAAGTAATAATAGTAATAGTAATTATAGTAATTCAATGTATAGTAATAATGCATACACTGTAATTGATATTACTGTGTATATGTGTGTATTAATGTATAATGTGGTTAATAATGTTAGTAAATAAAACACTTGTTGCGATTCATGCACTAAGTCACTATCAGTATATGCTGCAGCGTACATGTACATTGACTTTTTTTTGTAGCAGTGTTAAAAAAGAATTAACTTAAAGACAAAAGGTATGGTAGCAATGATAATAAAATAATAATAATTTTATTATTATTATATGAGACTGTAATTAACTGAACATTCTAAAAAGTAATGAAGAATAGATTAATTTTAGTTATATACTGCTTCTAAATATATGGCTAAGATATTTAATAAATGTGACAGCAAAAATTACTAAAGATTATGAATAAAACAAATCAACAACTGATTCATGATTATTTCTGAGTCTAACATCAGTAGAACTTGGTACAATTTCTCTCATTTGTTGATCAACAGTTAGATGTGATTCAGTGACATCTTGATCATCTTCATCTAGTTTCTTGAATAACTTCTTAATTAGAGCATCATAACATTTCATATGTGATAACTGCAGGTAAAGATGATAAACAACAATCAAAATAAAACTAAAGATAAAAACAGATAAACAAGTATTGTACCAGATCAATACTTTACTCTCATCAGTAAAGGCTACAGATAGACCAACCATGATACACAAGTTAAACAAGAACCAAACTTCAAGTACATTGTTCATTCTTTTATTGTAAACTCCACAAAAACAATGACCCAATGATAGCACAATAACTAACACTGTCAATAGCATTGACAATAGGAAGTGCTGTGACTGAATGAAACTGTCAACTAAAGTAACTGATAATAGTACTGGTATCCTAGCCACTAGCAGTAGACCAGGCCAGAACCGATACTCATCTTTCATTGGACCACTATAAGCATCAATAATAGGTTTGAAACGACTCCAAAATTTCTTTAAGAAATTAAAATTTGAAAGATACTTCTCATAAAAAGGATTAAGTAG